GTTTTTGTAACCAGTTTTAATTGGAGTCATTTCATTTAAAGATGAAGAAGGGCTGGTGGACAGGAGCCAGCTGCAGGCAGAAGAAGGCGTTTTTCAGTCCAGGTAGGTGTTCCAGCGGGCTGTGAGTAGAAGAAGACTGAGGCAGTGTACATGGAGGGCAGCTACAGTGCTACTGGCAGTTGGAGCTCTTGAGCTGGCTCTACAGGCAGCAGGGTGTGTTTTAGTGATTTGACAGTCTATACACATTTTGATGTTTCAAAGCCTCCTTTTCCCCCCACACCACCAGGGGACTGGCTGTCTCAGAGCCAAGTTTGTTGCTAGGGCTTTCCCAAAAATAGTGAGAGTTTTAACCCTTTATATCAGTGGAGTCCAAGTGAGTGGCCTTTGTCTCAGCATTGTCCCAGTTGAAGGGGCTTTTGGGAGCAACTTACAAGCAGAGGGATACATCTTTTAAATCTAGCACATTTCAAAAAGAGCATATGGACTGGAACCACAAAGTGCAAGGTGGTGGCTGTGTGGTTGAAGGCACAAAGATCTTGCCCAAGGTGGTTAATGGTCTGTCAGGCCAATGTGCAGCTGGATGCCTGTTTGTGCTTCCTGTGACATCTGACAGCAGCAGGAATCGTGGTAAGGCGGCATGGTTGATGGCCAGGCCCAGAGGCGAGTAATCAGTTTATACCTTTGGGAGGAGAGCTGTCAGGATTGTGGTTATCTCAGCATGCAGCAAGAGTCATCTTTCCCTTAGGGATCAGTCAAAGTTGAAAGTGCAGGGTTAAATGAGAGGGAGGCTGGGGGCTGGGGAGATGGCTCAGTAGAATAAGCACTTGCCTGGCAAGAGCAAGGGCCTGAGTTCAATCCCCAGTTCTGCAAAAAAAAAAAAAGAAAAAGAAAAAGAAAAAAAGAAAGAAAAGAAAGAAATGAGAGGGAGGCTGACTGGCTTGATGCAAAGGGGAGGTCCTCCCAGGCTGTAAGTTTGTGCCTGGCAGAAGGAGTGAGAAGCAAGCATCCCCGTTGCCCAGTGATGGTAACTTTTTGACAGTGGGAGCTTTTTTTGGAGGGGGGAAGGGTCGGGTACCAGGAATTGAACTCAGGATCTTGCACTTGCCAGACAGGCACTGTGCCACTGAACTAAATCCCCAGCTCACAGAGAGAACTTTTGAAGCAGAGAGTTTTGTTTCATTGTTTACCTGGAAAATCACAGGTTTGCCCCTAACTGTTGTAATGATTCAGGCTCTCGGGAACCCAATTTGGTAGAGCGCAGTCTGTCCTATCTATTCAGTCCTAGCAGGGTGCAGCTCATTTGTCAGGGTGGACCGTCAGTTTTTCCTCCATCAAAATATGGACCTTAGAAGGAATTGCTGACAGTCATCTAGGATCTAAGGTGGGTGTTAGATGACACCATCTGACCAAGATAGGTTGTGAGCAGAAGGCTCCACAGGCAGGGCCTCTGTGGCTGAATGCAGGCAGTGGCTGGCTGGCACCAGTTCAACTGGCTGGAAGTAGGCAGCTTGGGAGTGGGGAGTGAAAATATAGGTGTTGGAAGCAACTGCAGCAATGGGTGCCAAGTTCGAATTTTCAGGAAGAATGGGCCTTTTTTTTTTTTTCAATTGTAGAGTGGTTTGGTTGTATTTTCAACTCCTTAAAAGCCCCTTTTCCTGCAGTCAGAGACTGTGAGCTTTAATTAATTAGTTCCCATTCTATTTCCCTACAGTTTATGTTGTGTACCCTTGAATGACGGTGCAAAAGACAGAAGGTAGGTGACCCTCAGAGACCATTCAGATGGTCGTCTGGCTGCATCCCTTTTGGGGACTTATGTGCACCCTGGCTAAGGAGGGTGAGGCTTCTGTTATGCCATATGTTGATCATCGCAGAAACACAGGTGAGGGCCCACAGCCACCGCAACCAGTGCTGCCCAGTCTTGGTGCACAGATAGAGCAGCCTATTGCTCGCACTGTCTAGCTCACTCACGTATTCAGTCAGCGGGCACTCAGAGGTTAAACATTCCAACCCCCCTTCCCTTGAGAGTGGCCTTAACAAGAGTTGATCAAGTAGTTTTTCTGCTCAAACAGCATTACTGACAAAGTGGGATACTTCTGGGGTCTTACTAAAATCAGACAGGCAGACAAAGAGATTGTGTCTTCCTCCCTTTGGGGTTCAGTGTGAGCCACTCAAGTGGGGAGAATCCTTCTCCAGGCCTTCAAGGAGATTCAGGAAAGCTCAAGGGCATGCCTTCTTATCAGGACCTGGAGAAGGTTTTGCTTCGTCCATGAGGGTGACAACCAGTGACCAAAGAGGTCAGCACAGTTGGTCTTCCCGGACAACACACCAGATGCAAAGGCAGGAAAAACACCAAACAACATCCGGGATTTGGAGGCAGATTTATTTATGTCAATGGGCAATGATCAGAATGATTTCCAGAATGTCAGTCCCTGATCTCTGGTGGCCTAGGGACTATATTCAGTAAGTAAGCAGGAAGTGCAAAGGCAGAATGACTTGAGTTGGGGATTGGTTTATATGATGTGTATTATAGTGACAAGCCATTTTTAAGAGACCAGAAGCAACTGGAACTGGAACAGGAACTATTACCTGGCCAACTACTAAATTTACATATACTGTTGGGGGGACTTTTTTGTTGTGTATTAGTGGAGGAGTAGACAGACAAAATGGGACACATGGCTGGCAGGACTGCATGCTTACAAGCAGGGGATTAGATGTATGCCGACCCAGTGGAGGTGTTTTAAAAGACATAGTGCTGAACAATATAGAACAAATAAAACTCCTCTGGCTGGCTATATGCATTTCTACATGACTGTATGAAGGAGGAGAATGGATTGACTCAAAGGGACAGGTAGATAGAGCAATGCAGAAGACATGAATAAACAAAATACAGTTATTTCTACGTGGCAGGGTTGTAAATGATTCTAATGTTATTTTATTTATTTATTTTAGGGAAGGGTCTACAGAGTGTTCGGAGTCTCACTACCAGATAGGACTTGTAGTGATCTGCCTGCTTACAGTCTCCCAAGAGCTGAGATTACAGGTGCGCGCCACCATGCCCAGTCTCAATTGCCATTTCAGTGCATCCCTGGGGACAGGGCCGGCACAGCAGGCCCAGGAAATCAAACCCCCAGCCCCTGTGCCTTCTTGCAGTTGTTTTAATCCAATGAGCTATTTGGCTGGCCCTCTAATGCTATTTTTATAGCTCCTCTATAAACATATATTACACTACCCAGAATAATAAAGCTCATATAAAATTAGAGCTTTCTGAAAGAACCATACCTTAATTTTCTTCTATGATTATTAGCTATGTGATTTGCTACTTGTAGGTAATTTTTTCCCAGAAAATTATTTATTTCATAAAAACTTGCAAACAGGTAAAGTTGTATGCATTATTTTCATCATCGTCTTCTCCCTCTCTCTGTACTAGCGATTGAGCATTTGAACCCAGCGCTCTCACAGTGCATTGCATCCTTAGCCTTTTGTTTTTTAACGTCTCTTTTGATTTTCTGCTTATGTTTGTTTGAGACAAGATTTTGCTAGGTAGTTCAAGCTGCCCTGAACTTACTATTAGACCAGGCTAGCCTCAATCTCACAACTATCCTCCTGCCTCAGCCTCCCAAGTGCTAGAATTATAGGCGTGAGCCAACATGCCCAATTGACGTCTCTTTTCCTAAAGTTAGGCCTTCTCTCTTCTTAACTGAATTTTTTCCGAAGGATATTTTGAAACAATAATTCAGGGTAGTGTTCACTGGCCTCACATACAGTCTCCAGAAATCATCCAGAATAGCAGTCTTACATTAAAAGTTTTATCATATACTAATATTGAAATATTTTTCCCAGTGTCTAGAAATTCTGAGTTATTCAAGTGGTTGATGTGAAACCTGAATGAATTAATATAGGCTAAGGCGTTTAATACAGGTACCTGATACACAGTAACCACTATAATGATAAAAACTGCTATGATGATGTTAGCTGCAAATCCTTTTTCTGCCAACCAGAATACCCAGCACAGGCCTGGACACACAATATAATAATATTTAGGTAGACTATCAGTGATGCGTGGGAATCTCTAACATTTGGGATTTTCTTCCACACTTGAAATATCATAGGTTATGTCTTTCCTAAAATGATGTAGGTATTGATTATAAAAAGCAGATTATTAGGGCTGGGGAGATGGCTCAGTGGAATAAGTGCTTCCCTGGCAAGCACAAGGGCCTGAGTTCAATCCCTGGTTCCACCAAAAAATAAATAAAATAAAATACCTTGGGCTGGTGAGATGGCTCAGTGGTCTAGAGCACCTACTTGGAACAAGCTTAGCAAAGCACAGGGACGGCGGTTCAGTCCCCCAGCACCACACGCCAGCCAGCCCCGCCCCCAGGTGGGCTGAGCTGGCCACACACACAAAAAAATAAATTTAAAAAAACAAAGCAAAACAGATTATTGGTTCAACTCAAGCAATTCCATTTTGCTTTAATTTTATTTCTTGATTTTATCTCAATCTTCGCGTTTTCTAATCAGTACAATCAAGGCCACATATTTTCCTCACAGTATCATTTTTACTTTGGATTTTGGAGGTACGAGAGATTCCATCCAGGGCCTTTATACTGAGCTACATCCCCAAGTTTAAACTTCTTTTTCATTCTGTGACAAAGTCTCGCTGAATTGTCCAGATTGAGCTCAGACTTGAGATCATTCTTCCTCAGCCTTTTCTTTTACCTGTTTAACTTCGCTTCGCCCTCCAGGGGGCGGGGCCTGGGAGTCCCCTCCCCCACCCGAAGCTTTACCCCGCCTTGTTTCCATGACATTACGAAGTACTAAAACATGTGCTACCATCCTTTGTCTCCTTCCGCTATTTTGAAACACGTGGGACACGGATGGGAAAATAGTCCCTTGGCAACAGAGTTCTCACGAAGGGGCGGGACCAGGGCGGGGCTTACAGGCGGAAGGAACCGGAAGTCTTGTTCCTTGGGCCGGGATTGGGCGCCGCGCTCTCGGGGGGTGGGCTCAGGTGGGTGGAGGCTCCATCTTAAGCAGCGGGCGGCCCTCCGCCTCCATTTAAGGCTAGGGGAGCGGCAGAGCGGCGGTTGCTGTGGCTTCGGTTCTGAGGTGGCTCGGAAGCTAGCGACTTAGCGACCCGTGTCCAGGTCCAGCCGCGGGTGACTACAGGTCGAGAGTTTGCAGTCCCCACCTCTTCCGTCGCTACTCGCGAGCTCGTATCTACTCCGGAGCCGGTCGCTCCCCGGCGACTGCGGGGAAGGCCGCTGGCAGGCGAGATGTTCAAAAACACGTTCCAGAGCGGCTTCCTCTCCATCCTCTACAGCATCGGCAGCAAGCCCCTGCAGATCTGGGACAAAAAGGTCAGGGGCCTAGGGCAGGGCCGGGCGGGGCCCACGGTGTGCGCCCCCTGCTCGCCCAGGGGCGGGGGGCGGGGAGCAGGTGCTGTGGAGTTGGGCCCCGGACGGAGCGGGAGGCCGAGGCTGCGCCCTGCGCCCTGCTCCCTGCCTGGCGCACGGGCGCGCGATGGGGGCGTCGTGTAAGGAAGAAGGGGTGCTTCTGGTGGGGGCGAGTTCGAGGAGTTTAATCAGCTTCGAGCTACGCGTTCCCGGCCGATACGAGGGAGTCGGTAGTGCCCCTAGCAGTGTGGACGCACGGAGTTAGAGGAGCTTTGCGGTGGTTCAGGCAGCTGCTGTGCACGGGATCCACAAATGATGCCCTCTGTTGTGCCAGTCACTGTGGTGGTCACTAGACACAGAGTCTTTGTTCCAGGCACCCTTACAGAGGCACAGCCAGAAGCGCACGGGGCCGAGCCAGTGATGTTTGAGTTTCATTCATTTGCTTTCTTCCTGCTGGTCCCAAACAAGCCAGTATTTGGCGGTCTTTGGCACGTGCGCCGCGCTCACGATGGCTTGAGGTCTGTACTGTGCCTTCAGAGTTGGGTTTCTCCAGGAAAACTGCAAAATGAGCTCACCCAGTGCAAGCCTCATTATTACTTAGACTTCCAGAAGGTCGTATTTTCGCTGACTTAAGGGGATATGACTCTCCGCATTTTGGAGATCTAACCGTGAGTTGGTCTTCCTTTTATTTTTTGATATTTTATTTCTCATTAAAATTCGCAGGCAGTCACCCGTAGCATTTTTAAAAATATTACAAATGAAGGCAGCTATGCTAATGTGAAGCCAGTGATTTAGGGGTTATCCTTAGTCCTGCCCTCCTTGGGAGGTATTGCTGAGTAGCGTTTTCTACAGGTGCGTGTGGAGCAGTTGAACTCAGCTAAGCCTGTTAGTAATGCAGCCAGGGATTCTGGATTTTGTCGGAGTAACTCCGCTTATTTCCTTATCCACAGATCAGAGCTTTGGGCCACATACGATCTGGGAGAGAACTTGTACAACTTTCTGCCTGTTTTCACTGAAACAGGACCTGCTGTTCGCGGATTCCAGAGGCAATTCTGTGTTCTAAGATCAGCTTTGTGCAAAGTGGTGTTCATAGCACTGTTTGCATAAGGTCGTTGAAATACAATAAATAGTACTGTATAAACTATAATGAAGGTTGAATATAATGAGGTTGGGCCTTTGGAGGTGTCACTGTCTAACGCTTCTCTTTCAAATGATCTAGAGCTATTACGTAGGAAAGGGAACACTAGAGCTGTTACCTAGAAAAGCAGTCTCTTCTTTTTTTCTGTACCAGTGAGGTTTTTAGTTCTGTGGTTTTGTTTACTACATAATGAAGCAGTATAAACTAAAAATGTATCTCTACAAAGAGAACCCAGAGTGAGTATGCCTTAACCGTGTAGGTGATGGCTTCCCAGGCAGTTACAGGCAGTCAGAAGCCTGGAGAGAGCAGCTTCGGGTGGTAGTTGAACTTGGAAACGAACTTATGACAAAGATGTCACAATTAGGCAGTTGAGGTAGAGAAGAGGATTAGACCTAGAGGAGATTTTCAAAGCAGGTCAGAGAACTTACTGAAAGCATAGCAGTGGGAGGGAAGCATCGTTTTCTATTAGATGAAACTTTTATTTGTCAGTTTTCCACTTTAACCCTCTGGACTTTTCTGTGGTGTATGTTTTATTTTTCAGTATAGCTTTTTGGCTAGTCAACATGTTTACATACAGAATATAAAAGCAAAGTAACCATGGTGCGCTGTGTCCCTTAACAACAATGCCACTAGAGGTCGGATGGTACCCTGATGACATAAACACAAAAACGTTGTTAGAGCCATTGGCAAGGTTACATGGAGTAAATTAAACATACGTTTTGGTAAAGAAATCCTTTAGGAGAATACTTACTTTAAGCAAAATCCTCACAGTAGCAAAAGTTGACTGTATTTCTCTTAGTTAGATGAAACTGAAAAGTATTTGGGGGACAGTGGTTCCCCCCCCCACCTTGGAGCAAGTGAAGGAGGGAAAGGAAAAGGGGCTATATCTTTAATTGTATGGGTGCTTTTCCTTGTCATTATTTTAGTTTCTAGAAAGAGGTGGGAATCCAATCCAGTCCAGGCAACAGTGAGAGTTGATCTACTTATCAAAGATTTATTAAGCAACATCTAAAGACAAATGTCTGTAGACTTGGGAAGATACAAAGAGGATACATTTTCCCTGTTGCCAGGGAGTGCAGCAAAGTTGTAATAAGGGCCAAAATTCATGGGGAGCAGGTAGGGCATGGCTGTTTGCTTTTATCTAGACATGGCTCTGACCTTGCCAGTAACTACATATTGACTGTGGAGACTATTCTTACTTATTTTGACTTCACAGAATGTTACTCTTCTCCCTTTGAGTTTGTAGGAAATTTCTGTGTGGATTTTATGAAGAATAATCTTGAAAGCTTAGGTTTGGTTTGTGTTTAGAGTCCTTATGAATGTGAGAAGGGAATGTCATAGTCACAGTACTGGCGAACTTAGAAACTTTGTTTTTGTCCATATGGCTGGCTCATAAATGAGATGTGTGTAGGTTCCAGCACTCTTTGAAACTCATAGCCCCTCAGCCTCCTGACTCCTCTTAGGCATTATTTTCTTTCTTTTTTTTTTTTTTTTTTTTTTTTTTTGGTAGAACCAGGAATTGAACTCAGGCCCTTGTGCTTGCCAGGGAAGCGCTTATTCTACTGAGCCATCTCCCTGGCCCTTAGGCATTATTTTCATAGAGAACTTAAGTTAGGCCTCATGTTTCTCTGGCTCTGTACATCACGCATTTTCTTGTCTGTTGTGTATTGCCTTCCCACTGGAAGTTCCTTAAAGGGGAGAGTAGTGTCACACCTGACACCTGATTGCTAGGGAGTGATCAGTCACACTTTGCATCCTGACTGTCCTGTGTTCTAGTTGTGTGACCTTGGACAGGCGCTTAACCACTTTTCTCATTGACTTCTTGTGAATATGAAGATTAATTGATACTATATATATATTATAATGCCTAGCAACAATTATGATATGTAGTCATTATTTAGGTAAGTCAGGGCTTAGAGCATTAAATGGCAGGAAACTGAGCTTTGCTAAGGACTAAAATAAGGAGTTTAACTGATCCTAACATTCAAATGTCTAGGAATAGGACGTATGTACAGTAAAACCAAACTTCTAAAATTAAAATAATTCCATCATTGCATCATGGCTTCCTCTGCCCCAAACCTGTAAAGTGTCTGTAAGGCCACACAGCCTGATTAGCTCCTGCGGAACTGGTCCTCTAGGCCCTCCTCGCCAGGAGCCCCCTCACCTGAAGCCTGCTCAGGCATATCCTGTGCTCTTTCTATCCAAGCACTCTGCGGTCCCTCCTCTTCATCCTCCCTCACCTGCGTTTTCATTAGTCCTCAGGGCACACTTCAAAGGCAGTTCCTTTGAGGGGCCTTCCTGGAGCCTATAGGCTAAGCTATTTCTATACACTGGTAGGACCTCTCCTTCCTTTTCAACACACTTGAAATTAGCTTAAGATCTGGCTGCACTATTTCCTGATAATGACCATAGTAAGCTTTCAAACCAAGAGTTTAGAAGAAATTAGAGGTTTCTTTAAGATTCCCTTAATTTCTCGGATGAGCAAATCTGACAAAGGATTGTCATGTTTGTTATAAACATTGTTTCCTGTGAGCCTGGTACCATGTATCTGTAATGCTAGTTACTTAAGAGTTGCAACAGGAAAATTGCAAGTTCAAGGCACACCTTGCCATTTTAATGAGAATGTCTCAGAAAACAGGGGCAGGAGCCTGGGGATGAAGCTCAGCCCTAAAGTGCTTGCCCATCTTGTGTGAAGTCCTAGAAGAAAAAACAAAACAAAAAATAAAAAAACCTGACTTACAAGAATAGCTGACATTCTAGTCCCAGTTGTACTTTGTATAAAATATTGTCTTTTCTGGTAATAGCTTAAATTTACATAAGATTAATTAATGAAAATTGTCCCTATCTTCCTCCTCTCCCCCTCCATATTTCCATTCCCTGTCTCTCCCCTACCTCATGAACTCACCATGTATCCCAGGCTGGTCAGAAACTCAAGGCAGTTCTGCCTCAGCCTCTCAAGTGCTGGGATTAAAGGTGTGCACCACCACATGCCTTGCCTGTTAATTTTTTTTTTTTTTTAATGTATTTAGTTCAGGGTCTATAGGGTCTCACCACACAGATCGGACTTGTAGTGGTCCTTCATGTTTTTCAGCCTCCCAAGTTCTGGGAATACCACACCTAGTAGCAGTCACCACCTTGGTGCACCCTGGGGACAGGCCAATGTGACAGCCTGCCTGTTAATTTTAAAAATGAAAGCAGGGCCAAGGAGATAGCTCAGTAGAATAAGCACTTGCCTGGCAAGCTCAAGGACCTGAGTTTAATCCCCAGTTCCACCAAAAATAAATGAATAAATAAATATAAAAATGAATGCAGTCCCTCTCCAAAAGAAGTTCCCATGTTCTAGCTTTTAACTAGTAAACTTTGTTGGTCTGAGTTGAATTGATGAATTTCCAGTAGTATAATTGACTGAATTTAGACATGAGTTAGTAAAATGATTTTCACTTTCCCAGGATCAGACTTCATTATTCTGAGTAGTAGCTGTTACTGTAATTGGGTGAAAACTTGTATTTTGGTTACTCTTGTCCTTTTTTTATTTAAACAATTTTTATTGGTAGGTGTTTGTAATGCATATTGATTAAATTTCTTGTGTACTCTTGCCGTTTTGAGACACATACTTGCCCTGCATTAACTAAGGGATATGCCCAGAGCTGCCTGCCTGCTCTGCCTGGCTAGCCCTGGAAGGGAAGCGAAGCCTCTGACCCACACTGGAACCCCAAGTAGTGAATGGTTGAGAGGAGCTATGCCCACTTCTCCCCACAGAGGGCGCTCTCCACCTGTTGTCTGACTCGGAGCCTAGCACCTAACGCAGGGCAGATGCTTTCCTACT